CTCACCCACTCACCCACTGACTCACTCACCCACTCACTCACTCACCCACTCACTCACCCACTCACTCACCCACTCACTCACTCACCCACTCACTCACTCACTCACCCACTCACTCACTCACCCACTCACTCACTCACCCACTCACCCACCCACCCACTCACTCACCCACTCACCCACTCACTCACTCACCCACTCACCCACTCACTCACCCACTCATTCACTCACCCACTCACTCACCCACTCACCCACTCACCCACTCACTCACCCACTCACTCACTCACCCACTCACTCACCCACTCACTCACTCACTCACCCACTCACTCACCCAATCACCCACTCACCCACTCACTCACCCACTCACTCACTCACTCACCCACTCACTCACCCACACACTCACCCACTCACCCACTCACCCACTCACTCACTCACTCACCCACTCACTCACCCACTCACTCACTCACCCACCCAGTCACTCACTCACCCACTCACTCACCCACTCACTCACTCACCCACTCACTCACCCACTCACCCACTCACCCACTCACTCACCCACTCACTCACTCACTCACCCACTCACTCAACCACTCACTCACCTACTCACCCACTCACTCACTCACCCACTCACTCACCCACTCACTCACCCACTCACTCACTCACTCACCCACGCACTCACCCACTCACTCACCCACTCACTCACCTTGTCACCCACTCACGCACTCACTCACTCACCCAATCACTCACTCACTCACTCACCCACTCACCCACTCACTCACCCACTCACTCACCCACTCACCCACTCACTCACTCACCCACTCACTCACCCACTCACTCACTCACCCACCCAGTCACTCACTCACCCACTCACTCACCCACTCACTCACTCACCCACTCACTCACCCACTCACCCACTCACCCACTCACTCACCCACTCACTCACTCACTCACCCACTCACCTACTCACTCACCCACTCACTCACTCACCCACTCACTCACCCACTCACTCACTCACCCACCCAGTCACTCACTCACCCACTCACTCACCCACTCACTCACTCACCCACTCACTCACCCACTCACCCACTCACCCACTCACTCACCCACTCACTCACTCACTCACCCACTCACCCACTCACTCACCTACTCACCCACTCACTCACTCACCCACTCACTCACCCACTCACTCACCCACTCACTCACTCACCCACTCACTCACCCACTCACCCACTCACTCACTCACCTACTCACTCACCCACTCACTCACTCACTCACCCACTCACTCACTCACCCACTCACTCACTCACCCACTCACCCACCCACTCACTCACCCACTCACTAACTCACCCACCCACTCACCCACTCACCCACTCACCCACCCACTCACCCACCCACTCACCCACTCACCCACTCACCCACTCACTCACCCAATCACCCACTCACTCACTCACTCATCCACTCACCCACTCACTCACCCACTCACTCACTCACCCACTCACCCACTCACCCACCCACTCACCCACTCACCCACCCACTCACCCACTCACTCACCCACTCACTCACTCACCCACTCACTCACTCACCCACTCACCCACTCACCCACCCACTCACCCACCCACTCACCCTCTCACTCACTCACCCACTCACTCACTCACCCACGCACTCACTCACCCACTCACCCACTCACTCACTCACCCACTCACTCACTCACTCACCCTCTCACTCACTCACCCACTCACTCACTCACCCACTCACTCACTCACTCACCCTCACTCACCCTCTCACTCACTCACCCACTCACTCACTCACCCTCTCACTCACTCACCCACTCACTCACTCACCCACTCACCCACTCACTCACCCACCCACTCACCCTCTCACTCACCCACTCACTCACTCACCTACTCACTCACTCACCCACGCACTCACTCACCCACTCACCCATTCACTCACTCACCCACTCACTCACTCACCCTCTCACTCACTCACCCACTCACTCACCCTCTCACTCACTCACCCACTCACTCACTCACCCTCTCACTCACTCACCCACTCACTCACTCACCCTCTCACTCACTCACCCACTCATTCACTCACCCACTCACTCACTCACCACGTGGGACATCGCTGACAGAATCTGAGACTTTAATTGTCTTGGACAAATCCGAGAAGCTTTAAAGCTCTTTGTCAATGATGTCAGAACTTAGTTCGGATATCAGAACTTAGTTCGGATATCAGAACTTAGTTCGATTATAAGAAACGGGGTAAATTTTTAAAAAATGTAAAATAAAAAATCCTATACAGAAAATATTTTCCCTCAAACCCAGAGGAATGGCCACAGCCCCCGGCACACGAACGTGGAATGGCAGGCGACACATCTTTTTTATTGATTCAGGCTAAGCCTGATCTTGGCTGATGAGACACTGATCCTGTGAAACCACTGTGGGTCACGTGGTGGTGAGTCTATGGATCTCTATGTGAGTAGTCTGTGGGTCACGTGGTGGTGAGTCTATGGGTCTCTATGTGAGTAGTCTGTGGGTCACGTGGTGGTGAGTCTATGGGTCTCTATGTGAGTAGTCTGTGGGTCACGTGGTGGTGAGTCTATGGGTCTCTATGTGAGTAGTCTGTGGGTCACGTGGTGGTGAGTCTATGGGTCTCTATGTGAGTAGTATGTGGGTCACGTGGTGGTGAGTCTATGGGTCTCTATGTGAGTAGTCTGTGGGTCACGTGGTGGTGAGTCTATGGGTCTCTATGTGAGTAGTCTGTGGGTCACGTGGTGGTGAGTCTATGGGTCTCTATGTGAGTAGTCTGTGGGTCACGTGGTGGTGAGTCTATGGGTCTCTATGTGAGTAGTCTGTGGGTCACGTGGTGGTGAGTCTATGGGTCTCTATGTGAGTAGTCTGTGGGTCACGTGGTGGTGAGTCTATGGGTCTCTATTTGAGTAGTCTGTGTCTCTATATGAGTAGTCTGTGGGTCTCTATGTGAGTAGTCTATGGGTCTCTGTGTGACTAGTCTATGGGTCTCTATGTGAGTAGTCTATGTCTCTATGTGAGTAGTCTGTGGGTCTCTGTGTGATGAGTCTGTGGGTCTCTATGTGAGTAGTCTGTGGGTCACGTGGTGGTGAGTCTATGGGTCTCTATGTGAGTAGTCTGTGGGTCACGTGGTGGTGAGTCTATGGGTCTCTACGTGAGTAGTCTGTGGGTCACGTGGTGGTGAGTCTATGGGTCTCTATGTGAGTAGTCTGTGGGTCACGTGGTGGTGAGTCTATGGGTCTCTATGTGAGTAGTCTGTGGGTCACGTGGTGGTGAGTCTATGGGTCTCTATGTGAGTAGTTTGTGGGTCACGTGGTGGTGAGTCTATGGGTCTCTATGTGAGTAGTCTGTGGGTCACGTGGTGGTGAGTCTATGGGTCTCTGTATGAGTAGTCTATGGGTCTCTATGTGAGTAGTCTGTGGGTCTCTATGTGAGTAGTCTGTGGGTCACGTGGTGGTGAGTCTATGGGTCTCTATGTGAGTAGTCTGTGGGTCTCTATGAGTAGTCTATGGGTCTATGTGAGTAGTCTGTGGGTCTCTATGTGAGTAGTCTGTGGGTCTCTGTGTGATGAGTCTATGGGTCTCTATGAGTAGTCTGTGGGTATCTATGTGACTAGCCTATGGGTCTCTATGTGAGTAGTCTGTGGGTCTCTGTGTGATGAGTCTGTGGGCCTCTATGTGATGAGTCTGTGGGTCTCTATGTGAGTATTCTATGGGTCTCTATGTGACTAGTCTATGGGTCTCTATGTGAGTAGTCTGTGGGTCTCTATGTGAGTATTCTATGGGTCTCTATGTGATGAGTCTGTGGGTCTCTGTGTGAGTACTCTATGGGTCTCTGTGCGATGAATCTGTGGGTCTCTATGTGAGTACTCTATGGGTCTCTGTGCGATGAATCTGTGGGTCTCTATGACTAGTCTGTGGGTCTCTATGAGTAGTCTGTGGGTCTCTGTGTGAGTACTCTATGGGTCTCTGTGCGATGAATCTGTGGGTCTCTATGACTAGTCTGTGGGTCTCTATGAGTAGTCTATGGGTCTCTATGTGAGTAGTCTATGGGTCTGTGTGAGTACTCTATGGGTCTCTGTGCGATGAATCTGTGGGTCTCTATGCGATGAGTCTGTGGGTCTCTGTGTGAGTACTCTATGGGTCTCTGTGTGATGAATCTATGGGTCTCTATGTGAGTAGTCTGTGGGTCTCTATGTGAGTACTCTATGGGTCTCTGTGCGATGAATCTGTGGGTCTCTATGACTAGTCTGTGGGTCTTTGTGCGATGAATCTGTGGGTCTCTATGACTAGTCTGTGGGTCTCTATGAGTAGTCTGTGGGTCTCTATGAGTAGTCTATGGGTCTCTATGTGAGTACTCTATGGGTCTCTGTGCGATGAATCTGTGGGTCTCTATGTGAGTACTCTATGGGTCTCTGTGCGATGAGTCTGTGGGTCTCTGTGTGAGTAGTCTGTGGGTCTCTATGAGTACTCTATGGGTCTCTGTGCGATGAGTCTGTGGGTCTCTATGTGAGTACTCTATGGGTCTGTGTGAGTACTCTATGGGTCTCTATGTGATGAGTCTGTGGGTCTCTGTGTGAGTACTCTATGGGTCTCTATGAGTAGTCTATGGGTCTGTGTGAGTACTCTATGGGTCTCTGTGCGATGAATCTGTGACCCCTCTACCCGCTCAGAGCTCCCACCGCCAATGAGCACAGCGACCACCACCCCTCCGGGCAGTTCTCCTGCGCAAACTCTTCCGGCGTGACATCGCCACCACCGCCTCCACCGCCTCCACCGCCTCCACCGCCTCCACCGCCGCCTCCACCGCCACCACCGCCTCCACCGCCTCCGTCGCCACCGCCGTCACCACCGGACGTGACCCTGGTCAACATCTGCGATGGATCCCGCCCACAACCTCCGGGATTGATCGTGACGACGTAGGCCGCCGCCGCCGCCGAGGACGAGGAAGAGGAGGATGAGGAGGAGGACGAGG